CTCCGGGTGCCATCGACCAGTCAATGTCGGCTGGCGACTCCTCGGGGAAGGGCCTTCTCTGTAGCTGCTCCGACCCTGTGGAACGATCTACCCATAGAGATCCGGACCCTTCCCACTCTCTCGGCCTTCCGAAAGGCCACAAAAACCTGGCTATTCCGGCAGGCCCCGGGCTGTTGACCTCACGAATGAGGTCCAGCCCCCACCTAGATTGAGTGTATGATTTGTTGCTTTTTAATCTGTTTTTCTCTTTCCTTATTTTTAGCTTTTTATCTTTTTAGTCCTGTATTTTGTTAGCCGCCCGGAGTCCTTCGGGATTGGGCGGCATATAAATTCATTAAATTTACAATTTCAGCAAACTTCCGACCCTGTAAAAAACTTTCATTTTAGCAAATCCGGGTTTCTAAAAATTAATGTTCGGCTTTTGCTCTTTTTTCTGTTGTTTCCAATTTCCTACGCTGTTTGTTGTTTCGTGGATGTGGCCTGGAGTTGGGAGTCATGGAATTGAGCAAATAAATAAAACAGATTATCACTGGGAGGTCCGCCTGGAAAATTTCATGTCCAGATCAGCTGCAGAAAACCGATAGTAAAAAAAAAATAGTAATGGGTTTTTCAGCAGCCTTTTTTTTCTACACTTTTAAGCTTCTTTTGACAAGTTTCCCCAGTTCTAAGTCAAGACCCCAAACGGATCAATTAAAAAAAGATAATTAAAAAATCTTTGACAAGGCCCAACATTTAATCTCAGAACCGAGACTGGCTTCATGCCCCAGTCTCTTAATTTAAAACAATGACCACAATGAATAATTTCAAAAGAAAGAAAAAATACATTCTAGGAGTACAGAAATTCCCCTTCCAAGATGCTGACATAAATGAGATCCACCTTATTCATTTACTTTTTAAAAATAAATTAATTTCTACTGCTACCCATCTCAACCCAACTGATTTTAGGTGGTGAAAACAAGCCTTAAAAAATGAGAACGTTTAAAAAAAAAAAGTAATACTGTTTGGTGTTTTTAACTCAACCAACAAAACCCCACAAGACAAAATATAAACAAAGCCAAGTCGTTGCCCTGGATAAAGGTTAAAAGGCAGAATAAGGAAATAATAGATAAGGGAAAGTTACAAAAGAGGACGCAGCAAATTAAGGAATTAAGAAATATGTATTTTCAGTTGGATACCGGAAACAAATTGGAGATATATCAAGAGGGCCAGGTTAAAAAAATTACACTTTCGTTCTGGGTGAAGCAGGGTTAAGAATATATTTTTTCTTGATATTGGTTCCCCCCCCCACTTCTAGTGCAAATTTAAATTGGTAAATCCTAATAGCTTCCAAATTTTTTTTGACTCTGGTCTCAGTTGGGGGGGGGGGTCCTTTCTCCCCCCTGCCCACATTATACAAGGCCTTTTAAGATGACCCAGGGGTTTTCTTGCATTTACTGTAAACAGGACACAGAATCAATTCTCTATCTTGATGGGATTAAGACTTCCATTGGAGGGGGGGAGGATAAGGGAGCTGTCACACACACAACAAGCACCCCTCCCCGTTCAATCTCCAGAGCACACCCTGACTTCCTGCCCCTCTGATTAAAGAAGGGGGAAAAAGCAAAGATTTCAGTTAAAAATCTCCTGCAAAGCAAAGTCAAAACAATCTCTGTTTTCTGAAAAGAATAAAGGGGAAAAAAAACTACAGTTCAATTGTCTTTCGAAGACCCCCTATGCCCCTCACCCTTCCTTCCTTCCTCATTCTATCTTTTTTCTTTCTCTCTTTTCTTTCTCCCCTCCCTTTCTCCCACACTCACTCTTTCTTTCTCTCCTTTCCTTCCTCCTCTTCCTTCCTTTCTCCACTCCCTCCTCCCTTTCTTTCTCTCCTTCCTTCCTCCCACCCTCACTCTTTCTTTCCTTTCTCCCTTTTCTTCCCTCCCTCCCTCGCTTTCTTTCTCTCCTTCCTTCTTTCCTCCCACCCTCTCTTTCTTTTCTCTTTCTTTCTTTCCTTTCTCCTCTTCCTTCCTTTCTCCACTCCCTCCTCCCTTTCTTTCTCTCCTTCCTTCCTCCCACCCTCACTCTTTCTTTCCTTTCTCCCTTCCCTCCCTCCCTCGCTTTCTTCCTCCCCTTCCTTCTTTCCTCCCACCCTCTTTCTTTCCTCTTTCTTTTTTTCTCTTTCTTTCTTTCCTTTCTCCCCTTCCTTCCTTTCTTCTCTCCCCCCTTTCTTTCTCTCCTCCCTTCCTCCCTTTCTTTTTCTTTCCTTTCTTTCTTTCCTTCCCTCCCTCCTCCCTTTCTTCCTCTCCTCCCTCCCACCCTCACTCTTTCTTTCCTTTCTCCCTTCCCTCCCTCCCTCGCTTTCTTCCTCCCCTTCCTTCTTTCCTCCCACCCTCTTTCTTTCCTCTTTCTTTTTTTCTCTTTCTTTCTTTCCTTTCTCCCCTTCCTTCCTTTCTTCTCTCCCCCCTTTCCTTCTCTCCTCCCTTCCTCCCTTT